AAGAAAGTAAACAGAATGGAAATCAAACAAACAGAAGCTGAATTTCTGTCCTGAATACAAGTGAAAATTGCTTGAATATTTAGCAATAAGTATTTTACAGTCAATGAGTGATCACCGCACCCAGCTCACATCTGCTGGAACTAGGTGTCAGTGAGGTCCTGTTTGGCTTGCAGTATCTGGCGTGGCTACACACTGGCATGCACCAGGTGATGTTCCTCCTGCCTCACATCCTCAGAGGAGGAGATCCCCTGCTCTCTCAATTCCTCAGCATTCTGTTCATTTCCTGCAGCACTTGTGCAGAGCACATCATGCTAGAATTATGCAGCGTCAGGATTGTATTGCAGGGTCTCCCCAGAGCAGTCCACGCAATGGAACCTTACCTTCAGGGGACCTGTCATTTGCTCCACCACGACCCTAGTTGGAGAGTGACAGCATTGCATCTATGCTTATCCTCAGTCAGGAGATTGTGTAACAGTGTCATTGGCCATGGTCACAAGGGTAATCCTTGTCTTTAAGTAACTGGCCTTTCAGGAAATTCTCGATGATTATGAGTCATGGCAGCTCCCAGCATATTGGATGCAAATCTCTAAGATGTGATACCGATGATCACAGATCATTTGCACATTGACAGAATGGAAGCCTTTCCAATGGATGACGTCAGCTGCATTGTGATATGGCCATCTCAGTGTGATGTGTTCAGTCGATTGTGCCCTGCAACTGGGAAAGTCAGCTATGTTGCTGCAACTTGCTGTCTGGGCTGCAGCACTGAACTTGTTGTGGGCACCAAAATGAACCAGTCTGATCAGGCTTAAATGCCTGATCATGCCTTTAAATGCGTTTGCGGCACGTGGCTCAATGGTTAGCACTGCTGCCTCACAGCGCCAGGGACCCAGGTTCGATTCCACTCTTGGGCGACTATCTGTGTGGAGCTTGCACATTCTCCCCGTGTCTGCGTGGGTTTCCTCCGGGTGCTCTGGTTTCCTCCCACTGTCCAAAGATGTGCAGGCTAGGTGGATTGGCAATGCTAAATTGCCCATAGTGTTCAGAGATGTGCAGATTAGGTAGGTTACAGGGGGATGGGTCTGGGTGGGATGCTCTGAGGGTCGGTGTGGACTTGTTAGGTTGAAGGGCCCGTTTCCACATTTCAGGGATTCTATGATGAATGGCATCACACTTGATGCATTTGTGGGTGGGCAATTGAGAGATCCCACTGAGGTCCTCAGTGGCTCCCTGGTAGGAGCCAGTCACATAGAAAGTCAATGTAGCTATGACCTTTTCAGCAAACAGAATAGGATGGCTTCCCGGTCCTTCAGGTTGCGGATCCATTTCAGCATCCATGATAATTCAGTCAGATCCTGGGTCATCCTCAGCCTGTGCTGACACTGTGCCTCACTCATCTTGGCGAAATGTCTTGAGGCCCTCCTCTGTCTCTGACTCTGGACATCCTTATGTGGTGGAAGCTGTGCAGTTTTCCTTGTAGTTTGCTCCTGGTCCAGGGCTTGCTGGTACATTTGTTCCTTCACTGTCTCCCTCCACTGTTGTTGCATGGCAGCAATTGCAATAATAACTCCTATTATGGAAGGGTCCATCAGTCATGCCTGCAATAAACCTGTGTTGAGAACATGTAGAACAGGACAGTTTTGTAGCAACGAGAATAATCGACGTGCCATATAAATTACAGCTAAATATCATTCTCCAGAGAATGAAACATGTTGCTTTCCAACACGGAGAGCAGTGGAATAACAGATTTTGGCATTTTGCCATAGGACCTTAGTTTGACAAATGTTCCACTACTCATGTAGCAAAGAGATGATAGCAGAGTTTAAGTGCTGCATGAGAATTGAACCCCTGTCCCCAGCATCACACCACTCATGAAAGGCTTTATTGCATATAAGGGGGTCTTGCAATTTACTTACAACTGAGGAATCAGTTTTACACCCTCATAGGTTTTGCATTAATTATGTGCATTGTGGGCAGCAGGGACCTCTTTTAAGGTTGCCTGTAATAGTTATACTACATGGAGATGTCTATCTGCAATTTGCAAGAACCAAAGACATAGTTAATGTTGCCTGTGACCAGTTCTTGCACCCCACATACTTATATTCTGCATGCATTTCAGATGCACGATGATATTAATGCAACTGATGTGAAACTTCATTCTGCAGGGGCATAATAGATGCAATTGCTACTTGAAGGGCCTCTAATTCCACAGAACTGAGTGTGTTTGCAGTCATTTTAAATTTGCAAGTTTTGATTAGCAGTCCACATATCATGGAAGGCAGCATAGGTCATGCTGGACACTGTGAGTACCAGGCTCAGCCTGGTCATCATATTCCCCTCTCCACAAACTACATGTGTTCCTACCTAGCAGTCCCTGGAGACCCCATCTGAAGCCCCACATGTCCTCACCATCACCTCAAATTGAGACTCCAATGTCTTCTCTATCCCTGGGCCCATGCCTAACATTTGGTAATACCTGTCAGCATGCTACACTGTTCCCTGTCAAGGCTATGGTGTGGTGAGTGCCTGTCACCTGTCTCCCCTCCTGCAGCATGGCATATCCCATGCATCCTTGCCTCCCTGCATCACAGGCTACAGCCTACAATCCCC